GTTTTCTAATTGCGTTGTTTCTGTTTATATTAGAGTATAAGCAAGTACGTAGCTGCTTCTAAGATGCCATGCCTTCTACACTTCTGTAATTAGTACTCCCTTTTTAAACTAATACAAAAGGAGCACTAGACACACAGTAGACACACAAAAACATTTAGCCTTGAAACATTTTATTTTTGGAGCTTGATATCGACCTGTCAATTGTTGTAAACTTTGTGGGCCGCCAATGAATTTCTTAGATCCAACACGCTGATCCTTAGAGACACGTGCACAAAATCTCTTAGTCGTTGTCGACAAGGCCAAGATGGATCCGACAGAGAAGCGGCAACAACGGCGTGTCGGCGGATCGTTCTGACGGCATTAGTGATCGTTCGGTGGCATAGAAATCTTGATGTAATTTTTATTATGTTTTAGATATGCTTGGTACTTCTTGTGCACTTTTATAATAGAATCGATCTTTTTTGAAAAATAACAATTCTTGGATCATTCAACAAATTCACCACTGGCTTGTTTGCTGCTCTGTTTTAGGAACATGTTTCCTTTTTTTTTCTTTTTAAGTTTTAGGAACAAATTTCGTTTCAGTAACACGAGTTCTCAAGCAGCAGCACACTCGCTAGTCACTCTCCCCCCGTCCCCCGACTGCAGCTAGGCTGTGTTTGATAGCAAATGGCGAAATAAGTTGAAGTAATTTTGCCAGTAGGTATGAGATATCATAGTTTCATCAAAACATAATATTTTAAAGTATTCACAATATATAGAACCTATTTGGTTGTTGTCGCACACCGCTGTAAATTTTGCTACCTAGCTATTGTGTTAGCAGTGCAAACAAGCGCAGCTAGCTGGCCATTTGAATATTTTTTCTGTTGCATTCAACTAATCTGCCATGCACATGCAGCTAGCTAGCATATAGCTTACCGTTAGCAGGGTAAACACACCTAGCTGGCTTCTTTACAATTTCTGGTGCGTTATTCCCGGCAGCTAGTTAGGTAGCCTTTACCTTATCATACGCGTGCATAAAAACAGGAGAATGCAAAAACTGAACAGGCAAGGTACGTACCAACCATCCACCACAAGGTATGTACGTACCCAACCTAGCTAGCTTGTTTCTTTTCTTTGCTCTGTTTTAAAACACAGTTTTGCTAGAACTTATCTAGATGAGATTTAATTTGGTCTCATTCACTTTTTATAGCCATTGGATGTGGTGCTATAAGATATGTGTGTTGACGTGGGTTGTATCCGTTATTGTTTTCCAGGTGAATGAGACCGAATTACGTCTCATCTAGATGAGTTCTAAGTACTCCCTTTAAAAAAAGAGGTTCAAGATTTTTTTTATGCAGAGAAATTACTACAGTTTCAAGAATACTCTAGTTTTAATAACACAATATTTAGTGCTAACCAAACAGGTCACAGTAAATAAAACTATAATATTTAGAAAAACTGTAGTATTCTTAAAATACTTAGAAAATACTTTGCTATCAAACAGGCCCTAAACTCCGCCGAAAACCCTAGCCGCCAATCCCCTTCCTCCGGCCCAGGCGGCGGCCCCGCGCGCCATGCCCCCGCCGCCGCCGCACCTCGTCGACGAGATGATTGAGGAGATCTTCCTCCGTCTGCCCACCCCTGCCGCACTCGGCCGCGCCTCGACCGCCTGCCCCCGTTTCCGCCGCGTCATCACCGAGCGCTCCTTCCTCCGCCGCTATCGCAAACGCCACCCGCCGCCGCTTCTCGGCTTCGCCGACCAATATCCAGGGTTCCACCCCGCCCAGGCGCCCTACCCGTCCGCCCCGCTCTCCCGTGCCCTCGCCGACGCTGCCGCTTTCACATACTCTTTCGTCCCCAAGCCCAGCGAGGGGTACCGGGGTGTGTGCGACGTCCGCGACGGCCGCGTCCTTCTCGAGGAGGTCAACCTTGATAACAACGACATCGCGGTGTGCGATCCCTTGTCACGGCGCTACGTGCTACTTCCGCCCATACCTGGGGACCTGACATCCGAGAAGAAACGCCCTTGTCAAAGCACGCCCTTGCTCGTGCCGGTTAGCGAGGATGAGGATGAGACCTTGTTCAAGGTGATCCTCTTTGCTGACTATGGTACCGAACTGGCTGTGTTTGTCTTCTCTTCCATCACCGGAAAATGGTCTGTAGCCGCATCAACCAGTTGGAGCTCTTTGGGTGGTCGCCCCCCTGGGTTGGACTTGGACAGTCACCCGTTTGGATGCCGCGGCCTGTCCTGTTTCGCCCGTGGCTGCTTCTATTTTGCATCGCCTTGCAGGGACAGGTTGCTCGTGCTGGAGCTGGACACACTGTTTTCTACCGTCAACAATCACACTGGCTACCAAGTAAAGCTCAGATGGCTGCCTAGGCAGGTGGAAAATGATTTCACCAGGAACAACATGCAATGCAGAAGTCGACCTGGCCAGGCCAGACTGCCTCGCATTGTACTGGGTAAAGAAGGGGCCATTGAGGTGTTTTCTCTCGTTGATGATCACAGCCCAAATGGCTTGTTTTATCTCTATCATTATACCCAACAAAATAATGCTGAATCTTCCAAGGAATGGCAGCTGGAGAATATTGTACCGTTGCCTGGCGGATATAACTATTTCATCACGGGCGCAGATGAGGGATTCTTATTCCTTGGAGCCACTACAGAAGATCAGCTTGACATTAGTAGAGGCTCAGGAGTGCAGTTGTTGACTACTTACTGGGATGTAGACTATTTTTCGCTGGATGTCAAGACTTCTGAACTTATGAAGGTTTGTAGGAGGAAGAGGTGTTTCTTTACTCGTGAAAATGTTTACTGGTACTTCGGCTTCCCTCCATCATTGTCAAAACCAAGTATATGAAGTGGTAAGTCTATTTTGTTTATGTTTGTTGTGCTTTGCTGCCCTAATTGCTCACACTGGAAGTTACTGTTTTATGCTACCGTGAGAACTTTGTGAACCCGGAAATTTGGTCTTTATTGTTTCTATATCCTATTCAACAATTTCCATGAAATGGGGGCAATTGAAAAAGACACAATGTCATTTCATATCAGGGAAAGGCATCTATATCCCTCCAAATCTGGGTAACCTACACAGCAGTTAATGTTTGAGGGCATTCACATCGTAGGAAAGACTTCAATTTAATTTACCACACATCTTATCTGCTACCTTTTATGTATGCTACTTTCTAACTGAAACAAATATAAGATGGCTATGGGACCCTTTTGAAGCATGACTGAGCAGCTCATGCGCATTTAATCTTAAACTAGCACAGTGGCCCTCTCAAATGCGAGGGTATCCCCTTAGTTGAAAGTGTATGGAAAATACTTAACAAATAGGAGTGTGAGATTTTATTTATGGTTTCATAGATATTCACGTTATTTGATACAAAATAATACCACCCTATACACCGACCAAAAAATATTGTGCTAAATAAAATATCATAGGTGCATGTAACATCTTCAACTATTATAATTTTTTGGGCAAATGATTATACAATATTCTAAAATTACTCATAAATGAACATATGTGTCGCTCGTACATCTTATTAGATCAACTAACATAGTGACCCACACAAATGAGAAGGCAACATCTTTATATTTATTTGTTTGGCTATTAACATATTTATATTTGCGGCTTGTTATATAAGGATTTTGTTCAGATAAACATGTTTGTACCTAATTTAGTTCATCTGAATGCTACCTCTCTACTTCTGTTAAAATAACATGTATCGTCAAATTTTTCTGGATAAATCTTAAATTTATATCAAATACTACCTATGTTTTGTCAAGGACTCGTCTCTGCCAGCCTGGTGTGCCCAAGGTGGCTGCAGATTTAAAGGTGCTTCTCACTGCGACGCTTGCACCATGGTTATTTTACTCATCACAGAAAAAGAAAAAAGATAGTACTACTGCCCTTCTCAAATACGCTGATGAAATAAAAGAATGTACATTTGATTTGAGACGAGAATTCACTACTAAACAACAATCCGTGCTGGTAGAAAAACATCATGGTAAGTGATCTCAATAAAACATTGAAGTTGCATATTGAATACGCGTCCAAACCTATGAAAGAAGAAAATAAATAAGGAAACTTCAACATGCATCATATCCACTGACCACACCCATTTTTGCTATTTAAGATTTTATACCTCTTAGAGATATAAAATAACAAAGATCAACAATGGTTCTAGAGTAACAGATGTTCAAGCCCACACGATATATTCAAGTGTCTATTGCTCTATCTAGAGGTATATCCGATTGGAACCAAATTTATGTGTGAAAAAACGGAAATCTCAATTAGTTATGCATTATTACTCCTAATCAATACATCCACTTTAGCATACATACATGGTGAGAGAAAGCACATATTAATGAGTAATAAACATGAATAACATGATGTACATTTTATGTGAGCTATCTCATTACTATTGTCTACAACAAATATTTATCGGTTTATTGTTTTACCAAAACCCGAACCTAAGAACATGTATAAAAAAGTATGTATCCACACAAAATAATTATCAGAGAAAAATATAAAATTAAAATTAGTCACTACGCAGTTGCATGAAAATAAACTACATGGCAGACTAAGGTCATTTAGAGCATCTAGATACATGTTTACATCAACATTCTTGGGAAAACAGCTAAGCCATATTTAGTGATATGGGAAAAACTGAATCCAAACACAAAATAAATCATGCTAGACCTAAGAATAGTGTTGTGGATCAGCCCTAATATCCTCTAAAAAATCGTGTAAAAGAAGAAATGTACTAACTCTATGGCTCTAAAACATGCTGTAAGCCTGTAACTATGCTCTTACACTTTCTAAAGCTGTGTCAACATAGTTATCTGGGCCAATGATTGTACAGTATAATGTTAATAGACAAAGATATGCAACTAAATTATCTCGAACTTAGGTGCGAGAAAGTTTTGATGTACTGTTACACAATTCTAACATAAATAAATCAATAATGGAAGCAGCAACATTCCAAGTCATAGTTGCAACCGCAAAGGTTTACTGTGCGGTATGTAATTGCATCTTTGTAACACTATTGAAGAACAGCCATATGCAGTTCAAAATCCAAAGTTGATCGTAAAATGTCCATAAGAATTATTTGTCCCAACATCCAGCTCGGTATAAAACCATATGTGATGGTAGGCCATGATACTTATACTTGCCTGTAGAATACAAATCAAAAGCATTAGAAAAGCTTAAATATCTTTGAAGGAGAATTTAGCTAGACACAAACAGGATCCATACCCTTAAATCTCAATTTTTTAGTCTGTACAGGGGTGGAAATTCCCACTGCAATTTTTCTTGTTATAATAATAAAAACAGAACTATACAAAACAGCTGTACAGAAAGAGAGAAAACTAAAATATGAAAAATGCAAAACCTGGGAGGTAAGCAAACAAGCCTCTAGAGAGAAACACTCTTGCTAAGAACATCCTTCTTTCTCATATCATCTATTCACCTTGGCAAAACACAGAAAACAACATGAGTCTGCTAATGTTCCAAATGCTAGCAATCATTCAAGAAACTTGTGCAATGTTGCAGCAGAGCATGTAAAATATTGAACTGTTTGCTCCTAGAAAATGCATCATTCAGCACACACATGCATATTGGCAATGTGATATACAGGCAAATTAAAAAATGAATGACCGGGAAGGAATTAACCCATGGCTAACTTAAACTGAAGGTCTAGTCAGCAAAGTTAACATGTAGGAGTCCAGCCTTCCACCGGACAGCACTCCCTTAGACCAGCGGCGGCAGGAGGAAGCACTGTAAAGATGAATATCCTAAAGACGCATGGGTGGCATCACGGTAACGTGGATTCTCCTAAAGACGCATCAGACCATGCTTGAATTATCAGATTCGGAAATTAAAAAGAGGACTGGGGAGAGAGAACAGAGCATGCGAAGAAGAAACGGCCAACCGGTTTCTCTGGGCACCGTAGATTGGTGGCGAAATCTCCTTCGCGGTTATCCACGGAAATGCCCTGCAGAAGACTACCCGGACTGGACGCAGCTCCACGCGGATTTCATGCCGTTTCGTCTGGATCCCTTTAAATTCCTCTTCACCGTCTCTGAAGCCATCCATGGCGGAACAAAGGCACAGTGTAATCTTCAGTTCTGGTGCAGATCCAGGAAGGCCTCCACAAATTGATCATTGACTGGAGTACTGGACGGTAGTAGTAGTCGCTCCAGATTGCTTGATTGCGCTCAGGAGGGAGGTCACGACCTAGAGAAAAAGGTGGAACAGGACGGATCGATCGAGAGAGGTGAACAGGGACGATTAGATCGGGAGATTAGAACATCGTATTTCCGTTGTGTACGTGCATAAGTCCATAAGTGCATGGAAAGATACGAGACGTGTTAGATTTATTTTTTTCTGGCGTGCCTGACGTCCACCAGACCAGGATCCATGGATATGGAAGGTACTTCCACATATCAACGGACAAACTGCTATTACACAGATCTCTTGGTCATGGTTCGCTTATTAAAAGTGGGACCACCATATTGATAGACGGATGTTCCCCTTTTGATTATTGTGGGGTTTTCGAGCAAATCTCTCCATTTTCATCCGTATTGTGATTTTAGTATACAATAGATAGAGACTGTACTATATTTCCAGTTTGGCATATATGGCCTTACTGGGAAACTATGGAAGCAAACATTTCTATTGAATATGCTGATCTAATGTAGGTAGTTTTTACTAAATATATCTGCAGGAATGAACGTGCTTTCCTTTTGGGCCATGCATCTGATGCCTTCTAGGAGAACTGGAGGATGGACAATATGGTGCTCCGAATATGGTAGCTAGATATTGTACTGGTGCCTTGCCTTGGTGTGTGTCTTTTGGAATTAACCATCATGTACTTTTCTGTGTCGGTATTAAGCGCATCTAGCAAGACAATGTAAGCAAGCTGAATATGTAAGAACCGAACTGTCCTTTTGTGTTGGCACAATTGCTGTGGCCTACTGTGGTGGTGCGCTTTGCCACTCTACTTCCTCAGTTACTGTTGAATTGACCTTTGTGTCCTGCTCAGCATGATGATCATCTAGCCTTTATGCATTTGATGCTCCATTGCTGCTTTCGGTTATATAGCTAGTTGATTGTGTTTAAGTTTGTGCTTTGTTTGATGCCCTTCCAAAGTCAGGAAGGCAACAATGGTCATTCACGTGTTCAACAATTGCTGCATGTTTTGCCATCACATTTTGAGGCACTCAGAAAACCGTGCATGCATTCATTTTGAGACACATATCGCCTTCTTTCCTGGATTACTACCAAAGACGCTTTTTACTCTCCAATTGGGCATTCATGGAAGTAATTTAATGATCATTTTGTTTCCGAACTGAGAATACTTTTTCACTATAACTTCTCCGACTCTTCTCCAATCATACAGTTTGATTTTATTTGGGAAGGTCAACTTGCAGAGGAGCAGTCCATTTCTACACAGCTTATTCAGCAGGCAGGTGACCAGATACTCATCGTTGTATACTGATCACGCTATATACTCCATGCTAGTGCTTATGATATTTCCATTACACAGCCATTCGTATGCATATATGCTGGCCTTGGCTGTTCTTGCTTGCTGCCATTGTTGCACCTTGGAGCTTCAGTTTCATGGTCTCTCTCCTCTGAACCAAGAATTGGAATTGCTTCGCCATTCGAGGAGGGTACCTAAGGGGAATCATGGTAGCTGCCAAAGTTAGGAGCAGCTGTGAACCCCTGAGAAACAATACAACACAGGTGCATGTTTTTTGTTTTCCTTTGCTGAAGTTCTCATCTCGTAATTAATAACCTACATATTCTGCTATCAATGCCGATTTTTTTACGACTAAAATTGTTGTAGAGGA